ATTAACAATCACTGCTCCAGTCTTCAAAGCAAAGTCTTTAATATTTCTAGCTGTTTGACCATTGGGAATCAATGGCATCAAGGTAAAGGGTGTATTCAAAACAGGGGTCTCCAGGGAATTTGGTAGCAGTTCGATTTGAGTTTCATTGGAAGAGAAATTCACTTGGCCAAAAACTTTTCATCCAACTAGGATTAGTGACTTTACGGTCCTACTAATGTCTAAGAATTAATTTCCTTTGAGTCCAAAGGGACCTCCTACCAGGAAAGTAATAATAGTTTTGGATCATTAATGATATCCATCTCTAATTTAACTCAAGGAACTAGAGCCATTCAAGAAAAAAAAGGGGAGTGCTTGTTTCCTTGGAACTGGGATTGTTCAAAAGGTTGCCTCCACCATGCATCTCTATTGTAATCCATGTAACGCATCCTTTGTGTATATGTGACTATTTCTGTATATGAGCTTTAAATCTCCAATTGTGAGCAGGGCGCAAATGGGATTTAAGAAATGATCTTGCCTGTTATTTTCTTATTTATTTATTTATTTATTTATTTATTTATTTATCTATCTGTCAAATTTGGCACAGCCCATCTCGTTAAAAAGCAACTCTGGCTGGTTTACAGAGAAGATAAAATCAATTAAAATACAATATAAAAACAGTCTGAAATAAATAATAAATAAATTCCAAAATTGACAGAACTAGATCAGGGAATGTCATCAGGGCACCAGCCACCCCTAGGACTGATTAGCACTCTTCTCGTCCCATGCAAGATGGCAGAGGCAGGTCTTCAATTCATCTCCAGGTAAGTCTAGGAAAGTCTCCTGTGAAACCCTTGGAAAAATATTGCTGGCCAGTTAGACTGTATAGAACTAGACGAGCCAATCTTCTTACTTGGCATAAGACCAGTGGAACTGGCAGATTGCATCCTTATCTTTTAATTGGAGAGGCCAGGCATTATATATTAACATATTTTTATCAGTTTTATTGATCATGTTGTGTCAAATTAAGCCACAGAAGTATCATGGTGATAATGATGATAATTTCTTTTTTTCCAATGATTTGGTTAAATTTTTTGGATAGAACATTAAAGAATACAAGTGAAACAGAAAAAAAGGAAGAAAAAAAGGTGTAAGAAAATGAAACAAACCCCCCCACCCATCCAAAAAAGTGACTTCCCACCCTCATCATGACAAGGATAAACAATTCCGTAATCACTTCACCTCCTCTTATTTAACCAATGTGAAACTCTTCATCCTATAGCCCATTTCTTAACAATAGGCAACTCAAAGAGTAACCTCTTGTGCCATCCAATCCTTGGCAAAAAGTCCAGACAGAGCTCTAAGATATGAACAGTAGTTAACATATATAAAATTCAACATTCCGCATCTCCACTCTTAGCTAAAATAAAATCCCATATAAAAAGGATAACATATCCCAGTATCAACAAAATAAAAGAAAGGTTTAACATACCAAAAAGGAACCATTTCTTCTTTACAAAAGACCAGCTCTAATACACAAGAGTTTTACCCTAAATAACAACTTATCCCATTCAGATAAACATTCCATATCTCAACTCTATGCTGTAAGCAAATCCACAAAGGACTAATTTTAGCATAACAAAGAGAAATAGTTTCTCCTTTTTTTAAAAAGGATCAAACTTCTTACTTGAAATAAAACGACAATTAAATACAAAGTCAATTTGAGTAGATGCTGTAAGCAAATCCACAAAGGACTAATTTTAGCATAACAAAGAGAAATAGTTTCTCCTTTTTTTAAAAAGGATCAAACTTCTTACTTGAAATAAAACGACAATTAAATACAAAGTCAATTTGAGTAGTGTGAAATTAAGATACATAAAATAACAATAAAGGGAAGAACTTAAACACCTTATTAAGTATCAACAGATCCAGTGTACCACATTTTTTTCCAGTTAAGATATCTGCACATCCAGAACAGACCAGCCAGAATACCAACATGTATTTATGTATTTATCGGATTTGTCACTGCCCATGTGACTCTGGGCGGTTTACAGAACAATTAAAATCAATTAAAATTACAAAATTACAATAATAAATAAAATATAAAAAGTTCCGAAATGATTGGCCATCATTCAAGGAGCATCACTGAAGTGGTAGTCATCCCCAGGATTGGGTAGATTTGTTATTCCCCACATGCAAGCTGGCACAGGCAGGTCTTCAAAGTTTTCCAGAAGGCCGGGAGGGTAGGGGCCTGCTGTACCTCAGGGGGAAGAATGTTCCAGAGGGTGGGAAGAAAGGCAGGGAAGGCTCTCCTCCTGGGCCCAGCCAGTCAACGTTCTCTTGCTGACGGGACCCACAACACGCCTTCTCTGCCTGAACAGGTGGGGCAGTTTGATCTGACTGGGGTAAGACAGTCCCTCAGGTAACCTGCACCCATGCCATGTAGGACTTTGAAGGTGATAACTAACACTGTGAATTGGACCTAAAAGCAACGTGGCACCCAATGCAGCTCCCGCAGCAAAAGTATTATATGTGCCATCCTTGGGGCACCCAAGATTGTCCGCGTGGCCACATTTTGAACTAGCTGTAGCTTCTGGATACTCTTCAAGGGTAGCCCCATGTAGAGTACATTGCAATAGTCTAACTGAGAGATGAACAGGGCATGAGTGACTGACCAGAAAGCCTCCTGATCCTGGAAAGGGCATCACTGGTACATCACACAGAGGTGGGCAAAGGGTCTCCTGGCCATGACTGCCACCTGCTCCTCAAGCAGGAGTTGAGTCCAGGAGGACCCCCAGATTACGCACCAGGTCTATCGAGCGGTGCAACCCTGTCCAAAACCAAAGACGGTAAATTCTTGGATACAGAAGGGCCTCTAATCCACAGCCACTCCATCTTAGCAGGGTTCAGCTGAAGCCTGTTCCACCCCATCCACAGCCTCCATAAACTGTGAAAGGGTGATCATGGCATCACTCTGGTCACCTGGGATAAAGATGTATAACTGGGTATCATCTGCATATTGATGATACCTCATCCCATGGTGGCAGAGGATCTCACCCAGTGGTTTCATGTAGATGTTAAAAAGGAACAGAGAGAGTACCGAATCCTGCAGCACCCCACAATGGAGGGGCCATGGGCTGGACTGCTCACTCCCAATCAGCACCGATTGGGATTGACCTTGGAGGAAGGGAGAGAACCAGTGCAAAACTGTGCCACCCACTCCCAACTCCCCAAGTCAATCTAAAAGGATACCAAAAGGGTCGATGGTATCGAAAGTCGCTGAGAGGTCAAGAAGAGCAAGGATGGATGCACTATCCCCATCCCGCTCCCACCAGAGATCATCCATGAGTGTGACCAATGCCATTTCTGTCCCAAATCTGGGCCTGAAACCTGACTGAAAGTATTCATCTTCCCCATTTGCAACTTATGACACCCACTTATTTTTAATGCCTTCATAACATATGCACTAGTTTATGTTCCTGTATGTCTATTCTACAGTGTCCTCAACAGAAAAGACATTAGATTATAACATTTCAAAGTTTAAAATTTGAACAATCGAATACTCCAATCTCTTCTCTTCAAAGGCAATGGTAACCTTTTTCTTGATAATCCAGAGTTTGGACAGTGGTCACATTTTTCTCCTTCTCTAGTAAAATGGAACCATACTTCATTTTTAAACTTGGAAGATTTGCTTTTAAGTTGACCATTATAACAGAAAGACAAATGATGGGGTGAGCAATTACCTTTGGATTGTGCAACTGCAATTTCTGCCATATCTTCTGAATGGAGAAAAGCTACCATTTCCTCCCCCTCACTCCAAATTTTCCAGGTAGCCTGTCTCTGCCTTTCTTTATTAAAATAACCTATATTATTTTGTATTTACCCACTGATTTATTGCAACATTTTGGTGACTTTGGGCCAGTTACTCCCTCAGCTCAACCCACCTCAATCAGTAGCTTTGTCTAGCAAAATGGGATGAGGACTATTGACACCGATGTGAGCTCCTGAAGGAAATGTGGAATATAAATCTAACAAATACATACATACATACAACTGATTTTTAAAAAGGGAACTTTTTAGCACAATACTGCTTCTAGGGTTGAATGCAAGGTTTCTTGATGATAATACTGAGGTTTTTTGTTTGTTTGTTTGAATGATAATGAGGGGGGGTTGGTTTGCTTGTTTGAAAGAGTTGAAGCTGCTACTAGTGTGGTCCTCTGTGTGTTTTATCTTTTGTTTTAACCAATGCAGGAGAGAAAACTATTTATCAAGCTGTCTACCCTCTGTATATTCTCTGCATTTCTGACATGGCTCCAAACCAGAAGGAAACAGGCCCAACGTAGCTACTCAGGCAGAAACAGGCATGTTGCTTCTTTTGAGAACTTCTGCAGGTCTGCATGGCAGGTCTCTGAACTATGTGTCTCCAAAGAAGGTTTGCTCAAAGGAAGCCTGGCAGTCATCTTTTTTTCAAGGGGGTTGACCAATCTGCTTCAATATTTGTGCGCTGATTTCTCTTATTCTAGGCTGTAATAAGTAATGTTTCTTACAAATCAAACTCCTGATGATCTCATGAACATGACCTTCCTGGATATTCCAAGGATTGAACTTGGGACTTTGATGATTCTTGGTCATGAGAAGTAGCATTTTTATAAATAAGTGTAAATCTGGTAAGGGAAAGACAGGGTATTCATCTTCCCAATTTGCAACTTATGACACCCACTTATTTTTAATGTGTTCATAATGTGCACTACTTGATGTTCCTGTATGTTTATTCTACAGAGTCCTCAACAGAAGAGAAAAGACATTCGATTATAACATTTCAAAGTTTAGAATTTGAACAATCTTAGTGATAAAGTGAACATACAACCCAGCATCATTTTACAGTAAATCTCTCTGGTCCATTTTCCAAATCAGCGCTGAAAAGAAAAGAAAAAGAGTAAAGTTGCTGAATGATCTTCTTGAAAGGCTTGAATAAGCTGCTCTACCATATGCACTAGGGTTGTGATCTCAGGTTGAAACAACCCTGTTGCCAGGACCCCTTTCATCTTCTGTCATGGTTGCCATTGTGAAGTTTATTTATTTATTTATTCATTCTTTAATTTATTCATTGATTTGTTCATTGATTTGTTCATTGATTCAATTTATATGGCCGCCCTTCTGAACAAGTGACTCTGGGTGGCAAACAAAATTAAAATTAAATTAAATTAAAAAAAACAATTACAAACATTATAAAAATTCAGGCACGAAGTTGCTGAGAAACATCAAACCCAGATCCCTAGTACAACCAAGAAGCAGGTCCCTGCACACACTTGGGGCCCCAGGAATCATCATATTGATGAGCAGTGATGGAGGGAAGTAGGTGTATCAGCCTGGTGGTCGGAGAGATCTAAGCAGCCTACTATTTGAGACAAAATAAAACTTCCTGGTTTCCCAGCTTTCCTCCAACAGTGGAAGAGGCCCAAATTACCCAAAGAAGTGGTTGTCTTTTCTCATCCAAGAAGAGGCAGGGTAGCGCTCACTTCTCCCTGTCTAGCAAAGTGGTTGCTATTTAAACCAGGCCAGACTGATACAGATTTGTATCTGCAACAGAAAAACCCAGAAAACAATTTACCAGAAAGTTGCAAGAAAGTATAGCACATTCTGATAGCATTCAAGTAGAGGGGAACCCAAACCAAACCCCTCAGAAAACCCATTTCAGGTTAAAAGCTTTGACCAAAGCCTTTTTAACTTCCTTATTCCTCAGGCTGTAGATCATTGGGTTTATCATGGGAGTAAGAATCCCATACAACATGGAAACAATTCTGTCTTGCTTGGGTGAGTAAGTGGAAGTGGGCCGAACATAGGTAGCAATGGTTGTCCCATAGAACAGGCAAACCACAGTCAAGTGGGAACCACAGGTGGAAAACGCTTTCTGCCTGCCCTCAGCAGAGTGCATGCGTAAGATAGCCGAAATTATATAGATGTAAGAGATCAGGGTAACTAGAAAAGCACCACCCCCTAAAATTCCAGCCACAAGGAGAAGGACCAGTTCAGGGAGGTATGTGGAAGAGCAAGAAAGAGCCATTATGGGAGGGATGTCACAGTAATACTGATTAACTTTATTGGGCCCACAGAAAGATAATGTAAAGGTCAGTGAGGTGTGAATCATGGAATTTGTAAAGCCTGTTAGCCAGGTCCCAACTGCCAGTTGAGCACATAGACGTTTACTCATAATATTTGTGTAGTGCAGGGGGCTGCATATAGCCACATAGCGGTCATAGGCCATCACTGCAAGCAAAAAAATTTCAGTGCCCACCACATCAATCAGGAAGAATAGTTGCAGCACGCAGCCGACAAACGATATTCTCTTGTCCTCTGACAAGAAGGTTTGGAGCATTTTTGGCACTGTGACAGTTGGACAAAGGACATCCAGCAAAGATAAATTACTCAGAAAGAAATACATAGGTGTCTGGAGGTGAGCATCTGTCGCTGTTGCTATGAGAATAGCCCCATTCCCTGCCAGAGTGGTCAAGTAGGTCATCAGAATCACCGCAAAGAGAGACATGTGCACTTCAGGCAGATCAGACAGTTCACTTAGGTAGAAATCCTTTACTCCCGTGCTATTAGCCATTTTTCTGCCAAGAACTGTGAAGCAGAAGTATCTAAAAACAATGAAAGAAAGATATTAAAAGCATACCTTGTATTTTCTTCATGCCTTTTTGTCTTTTTCTTTTTGCTATAGCTGGCTAAGGACCTTAACTTCTGAAGAAGAGTGTTTCTTATTGACTTGTTTGTTTAAATCATGTGTTGAGAGCAGCTTTCCATCAAACTTCTCAAAGAGGTTTACAATTCAAACCAAAGTTTGAGAGAGCAAAGAGGTTATGGAGATCACGGGGTGAGAAGAGAAAATATCAACAGAAGAGAAGTTGTGGAGGAGAGAACTTCAGCAATATGCTTCACACAGTCTTCATGTAGCAGCAGCTTTGAGGTCAGAAAGTACTGAGACCTACAATGTCCTTCGATCTGAGGCTATGTAGAAGGCAAGAGACAGTTTGTACTAAGATATTCTGATCACTCAATTCAAACTGTATATATTGTTCAATTGCATTTAGCAACTAGCACAGGGATAGGCAACCTTCTGATTAGTAGGAGTTTGTGGGTGGCCAAGAGCCCCTATTTGGATCAGTGGGGAGGGTGATGCTGCGGTGCAGGCTGAATCAGTTTCCTGATTTTCTATTCTTTGGATCTGGGGAAAAATGTATTGATTTTCTTTCCTTATAAATTAAGCGCGGCCTGGTTGAGATGTCCTTCCCATCTCAAAATGTCAAGAAACCTGCCATTGGTTTTTGGCAATTCTAGTCTGAGGTGGTTCTGTGGACTGCAAAAAAAAAAAAAAAGAGGCAGAGGAAAATGAAGTGTCTTTTTTGGGCACTGCAATCTCAGACTATCCTTCTCTGCTCTACTCAATCAAAACAGAAATGCAGCCTCAATCTGCAATATGCCCATCTATGAATTGTGAAGCAAGGAACGTGTTCCAAAACACAGAACTGAACCAAACTCATCTTTCATCACACACACACACACACACACACGATTCTGCATATATCTCAGAAACCTGGTTTCTGAGACACTTCTGTTTTTTCTGGAAAAAGTTGTAGTCTGTGATTTTTATTCTGGTGTTCTTGATTTGATTTGCAAACATGGTATGTTGCATGCATGAAGTATGAACCTTGAATTGTAATCATGGTGATCATTAGTTAATCCCGTTTATCATAAATACTGATCTGCCATCGAGCCAATATAAGTATGCTGGGGAAAGTTGTGGTTGTCAATAACATTTCAGTTAAAATACAGGGAAATGTAATTGCTATTTTTCAAAAGTTCCTTCTGGCATAACCTCATGTTGATTCCTACTCTACAAAGCCAACACATTCATGATTTAATAGATATGAATATTAATAAATAATAGTGTAGTATTATAACAAAACTGTACTTCCTTGCCACTAATCTTACTTGCACCCACTTTTTTCTTGATCTTTCAGCCGTCTTCCTTAGTTTTTCAGTTCTGAGCAGGCAAAAATGCCCCACAAAAGACTTACAAAGCACCTGAGCTTTAAGTGCAATATCCCATAACATTTCTAAGCACAACTCACAGACTTTGTAGCATTCATTCTAATTTCGTATAGCATATGAAGCTTTAATATTAAAGCAACAGAATTTATTATCATTAAAAATATTCAACAAATAGAGAGGATGTGGATATAACCCAAGAGTAATTGCAGAATTCTTGATACAAGTCAAATAAGATCACATCAAGAGTGTTTTACTGTATTTTTATGAATGCATAAACGTGTGCTGGTAACTGAAAGTGGTGCAAATGAACTAAAAGAACTGAATGTTTTGGCACGTATTTAATATTCATATTATAGAATTAGTTTCTCTGAAATTCAGGATGAGCCCAAAGCAAGATTAAAGAAAGAACAATAAAGTCAAGTAACATTTGAAATTTAAAGATAACAGGATGAGAATTTAGAATTAACCCAGAGTTCAGTGGAACTGGAACCCTGGAGCATTTCCTCATGGGAACACCACTGGCTACTAATGCTATCATATTAAGAGTTGCCTCCTATTCTTACTGTGACAAACTGATACATTAACTTGTCTTGTTAAGCATAGGAATCGCATTTAATTCAGTATCTTAAGCCCTTATGAAAAAAAAAAACCATCTGTGAACTGAATTGCTAAATAAAGTGACCATTTATGATAGACCTAAACTAAACAAGAGTGAAAGATTCCGATAAAAAATAATGTTTATATGACTATTGTTATATTAATCCAAATAAATTAGGTATTGAATCAAACTGTAACTACTTTTCACAGAACTTAGCAATAGTCATTTATCTTATTTATTTGTTGTACTTAACCCAATCTTTCCTTCAAAGCTGCATAGGCAAAGTAGATTCCTCTATTTTTCCCCGCAATGATCTCCAATGGGGTGGGCTGGGCTGAAAGAGAGTCCCCAAAACAGCCAGTAAGTTTCCAGGGCTGAGGGTGAACTTGAATCTGGGTCTCCTGGGTGCCAGCACCTTAATCACCACATCACACTGATTCCTAATACTCTTAATAACATTTTTCACTGAGCTTTATCAAAAATTTGTAAATAATTTTACACTGAGATTTATAAAGAATATTACATAGTTCCGGATAAATATAGTGTATGTTTCAAATCAGTAAATAAACAAAATGCATATTTCAAATATCTAGAATAAACAGGTATGAGGCTGAACAGTAGCTTGCCCCCTGCCCTTGTACCTGAAGTGTAATGTGGCAGCAGTTTTCTGATCTTCAACTTATTTCAATTTATTAAAGTTATAGTAAAACCTACTTGATGAAGAGATCTTCCAGCTTTAAATGTGAGCACACTGAGATTGCATTATTAAAAAATGATACAGTAATGAAGTCCTGCTATATAGTTTGCATCTTAGTACTGGGGGGAAAAAATCAAAGAAATACAACTAGGAAGAATCCAAATACTAATCTAGGTTATAATTATAATCAAGAACTGTCTATATAATCAGTACTGAAGATAACATCTGGGGACGTGGGCCTCTGAGAACATTAAAAAGTAAGGTGTAGCTTTGAAATTTGCTAAGTCATCTGGCAAATTCCTTGGTATCAAGAGAATCTCAAAATCTTTGGTTGAGTAGAGTTTAGAAACTGTTTTGAGTCAAAACAACAATCTAAACAATTAATACATTAATTTCTGGAAAAGCTCTTTTGCTCCCTATATACAGTATGTTAATCCTCAGATCAGAACAAAACTAGTTTTTCAACATGGCAATTATTCATTGGTAGAGGGAGAGTTCAGTTCAAGAGAACTGCAGTGCTTTCTTGGAAGGAATCCTTGTCAGAAGCTGATGAACCACTGGAAATGCTGCAGGCAAGAGAATTCAGGAATTCAAATCCAAACTGTAGCGTACATGCAATTTCAGGCCCGGCTCCTGCAAAGCTGCAGTGCAGAAACACTACAAACCACTTCTTGTTCTGGAAGATTTACTTATGAAAAAGTAAGGACTACCCCTGGAATTAATAGATCAGTGCATTCTCAGAGAAAAACATATCATTATGGGGAGCATCAAGTTCCATCTCTTGGAATGCTGAGTTTTGCACAACCTTGCTCATTACCTATTCCTGTCAGCCTCTTGTATTTTGAAAACCTGATTTTTTGCTCTCAGATTGAATCTGGATTATACTTTGGGAAGCCTGAATTTTTTGAAGCTCTGTCACTTGTGTGAACCCCGTGTATGACTCTAGAGCTGATTTTGGAGCCTGTAATTACTAACTTATTTGTATTGCTATCAGCACTACTGATTTCCTTGTTCAAAAGTGTTACAAAGTATGCTCGTTTATTTACCTGAATGTGTTACAGACATGTAAGTCCAACACATATATGTGACATTGAACCAGGGGTATGTAAAGAAAATCAGATACCCTAAAGATTTATTTTAGTCTTTGATCAGAATAAGACACCAATGAGGCAATTGTCAGCCTTCCCAGGTAGACCATGCAGAAACCATGACCAGTTGAGCTAATTCTACTTTATTGTAAGGCTACATTAACAGAATCTTGCAAGTCTGAAGGTATAAATCTCCCATCATCTCTTTAACAGCCTGATAAATTAAGGAGGTTCCTTTCTGAGTTTCTTCTGTTCCCATTATACAGCTGCAGGCTATGCCCCCTCTTATCTGATCATTCCCTAGGCAGTATCCCTTCCCTCCATCTCCCAAGGTTATCCCCACATACCATTACATCAATACAGAATTAACCATGGAATTATCAGGTGCTTTTATTTTATGGGGGTAACCTATAAAATTAATTCTCTATAAAATACTTATCAAATTAAGCACTATAAAACTGAAAACCTTAAATAAATGAATCCATGAATCTAGGATCCATGCTATGAAATGAATACTAACAATACCTATAAAACGAAAATCTATAAAGCTAGAAACTATAAATAAGTAGATCTCTTATAAAACCCTATAAAATTGGTTGAAACTAGGGCATATACTTGCATACAAGCCCACCCGCAGAAAAGCCAATCCTTGAATTTTTAACCAAAATACTATGAAAAATGTGCCATACACAGATAAGATGACCCTCATTTTTCATGGTATTTTGGTTAAAAAGTGAAAGGTCAGCTTATCTGCAGATAGGCTTATATGCTAGTATATACTTAGTTTTACGGTTTCATGGTATTCAGTGAAGAGTTTGTTGGCTCACTGAGTAAGTGTGAATGCTTGATCACATCAGAGTAAGCACGTGAGTGCTGAAAATAAAAAAGGAAGTTTCTAAATTAGAATTGGGATTAAATGAAATGTAGGAGGACTTATAGCAGAGAATATCCCAGTCTGTTTTGGCTTTGTACATATATATGGGTACCAAGAGAGATGAAACTTTTAATGATGTATTTGGGTTACAGGTTTTATTATATCCAGGTTTTAAGGGAAGTTTCAGGGAGATGAGAGAGAGGGGAATGAGAATTGGAAGGAAATGATCTAGAAAGAACATTCAAGTACTAACCAGTAGGAGAGAGGTGATGAAAAGCTGCAACCTGGTGTTACAAGGAAA